CCACGCGTTAAGGAATACCTGAGTACCGATTGCCGGGTGGCGGTACAAGTTCGCCAACGGGCCACTTTAGGTCTATTTAACATCACTAACACGCAAAAAGAAGGTGGTAGACAAGGACCAGTCGACCGAGGCAGTACCACCCGCTAGCTTTTCCCAGGGCGTCTTATAAATGTCCGCATGTTTCCACACCTAAGCTATGCAGTCGGTTATCCTCCAAAACAAAGAATTTAATGATGATGGATCCCTCGAGCACTAAGAACTCCGGATGTAAACTCACTCCACTCTCGGAATGTCCGGGTGGAGGGTGGGCTCGAGGTAACAACATCGAAGAGAAAATCTGTTTTTCGAACATCTGCGGGATTAACAGCAACATTGATGCTGTTCATCACTATCTGCAATCCAATCGTCCCGCCGTGCTTTTCTTGGCGGAGACAAAAATCTCAGAGTCTGCACCGATTAACCATCTTAACTTGTCAAACTACGAGGTGCACTCCAATCTGAGAAAGAACGGGGGAGTTGTGGCTTTTGTCCGCGGCAGTCTCTCCTGCTCCAGAGATGTTTCTTTGGAATCAGACCGGAAGGACATTCTGTGGCTTCGCCTCAACTCCAAAACGCCCAAGTTTATTTGCCTCCTTTATCGCTCTTCCTCGGATCATAACCGGGATGACCTATTCGAATACCTCGCCGTCCAGATCGACTTCCTGAACATCAATCATCCCGCTTCAGAGGTAGTTCTTCTCGGTGATTTCAATGCCCATAACAAGCTTTGGTTGGGCTCAAACAAGACCGACGCAGCAGGTCGTGCAGTCGAAGCGTTCGCTCTTACCCAGTGGCTGACTCAGCTGGTGACGAGTCCTACTTTTTTTCCCCGCGTATCGTCACACGCCAGTAGCCTGCTGGATCTCTTTCTGACCACGCATCCTGCCCCTTACAGCACTGCTGTCCTGTCCCCCCTGGGTAACTCAGACCACGGTGTTCTGGAGGTTAGGTTTCGGTCAGAACCCGCTGTGGCAGCAGAAACTCGTACAGGCCGCAAAACTTGGCATTACGGACATGCCGACTGGGAGGGGCTCAGAGATTTCTTCTCTAGCTTTCCTTGAAAAGATGTCTGTTTCACTTACGCGGATGCGTCGGCTGTCTGTTCTTCGATAACCGAAATTATCCACGTCGGAATGGAGGAATACATCCCTCACACAGTGAAAGTGCCTAGACCAGGGTCCATCGGCTGGTTTAACAAATCGTGTGACGCTGCTCGCCAGCAGAAGATCAAGGCGCACAGAACCTTCTTGCAAAACACCACTGTGGAGAACAGACAAGCCGACGTTGAGTCCAGAAACAAATATAAAGCAGCGGTTCGCAATGCCAAAAACCAGCATGATATAAAAGTTAGGCACAGGGTAATGTCGCAGCGCAATGGCAGTCGGTCTTTCTGGACGCTGGCCAAGCAGATTGAAAAGAACTTCTCACACAGTAGCCTTCCACCACTTACGTGTCAAGATGGAACTATTGTATTCAACTCAAAGGCCAAGGCGGAAGTGCTAGCCAAGATCTTTGCTGCCAACTCCACCATGGACGTCCCCCCCAACGCCCAAGTGCCGTCAATTCAAAGGGTTCCCTACACTATGCCGAAGGTAACATTCAGGCATAAGACCGTAAGACGAGTGCTCTTGTCGCTCGACATCAACAGAGCTTCTGGTCCGGACATGATTCCTGCCATTGTACTGAAGAGGTGTGCACCGGAGCTTGCTCCAGTTCTTTCGCGTCTCTTCCAGATATCTTATGAATCCGGCACCTTCCCAGAAAACTGGAAATTTGCTCATGTCCAACCCATCCCAAAAAAGAGATCTAAGACCGACCCTTACAACTACAGGCCTATAGCTCTGCTTTCTGTTTTAATTGACGGGTTCTCCTCTTCATCCCACAACGTCAACGCGGGTGTTCCCCAGCGATTGGTTTTGGCTCCGACACTGTTTCTCTTACATATCAACGACCTCCTTTCCTGCACGATCAACCCAATCCACAGCTTTGCTGATGACAGCACTCCTCATGCAGGAATTCAGAGTGACAAGCCGATTTCTGCCGCTGAGTTGGAAAAAAGAAGACTAGCGATGACTTCCTCTCTGACAAGAGACTTGGAGGCTATCACTGCTTGGGGACACAACAATCTTGTACAGTTCAATGCTTCCAAAACAAAAAGCGTCCCTGCGCTCACCCGGTTTCGATGGATGGTCGAGTTCTACCAAAGAGCCATTCATTTCGGCTGGTCGGAGTCCAGATCACCGAGGACCTGATCTGGCACGAACACATCTCGTCAATAGCTGCAGCTGCTGGAAAAAAGCTAGGCTATTTGTTTAGGGCTAAGAAGTACTTTTCTCCGCATGACCTTCTCACTCTATACAAAGCCCAGATAAGGCCTAGCCTCGATTATTGCTCACACGTTTGGGGTGCTGCCGCCCCGACTACATTATCCATGCTCGATGCTGTCCAGAGGAGGGCGGTCCGACTGATCGATGACTCTTCTCTAACAGACAGTCTCGGGACTCTTTCGCACCGGTGGGCTGTCGGCGATCTGGCTCTTTTCTACCGTTACACCAACGGGCTTTGCTCCTCAGAGCTGTCTTCCATGATGCCGTCGCGCGATGTGCCTGCCAGACAGACCCGCCTAACTTTGGCGTCCCATCCTAACCGTGTCGAACTTCGTACATCCAGAATCGGCCGATACGACCACTCCTTTGTCCCGAGGGTGTCGAGATTGTGGAACAATCTACAAGAGGAAGCCTTTCCCAGTTCTATTAACCTTAGGCAGTTCAAAAATCGTATTAATAAAATTTCTTTGGGATCATCATAGCAGCTGCGGTGTTCCGGCATTTAGGCTTCTGCCTGCGCGGCTGCTTCGATATAAAAAAAAAAATCTCAAGTCGGTGAGCCGTGTTAGGCCTTCCTTCGTATTGATTACAACTGAACGTTTTGGGGAACGGTTAACGTAAAAATTAGTATAGATTTAGAAACTGGTAACAATGGTAGGCTACTTCTTTTGAGTTTGTTTTTGACCTGCTCAGCTATGTATTTATTAAACTGATGTCAATGTATCATGTGTTCTTAGCAAAAGAAGTTCCTTATTGTTTCCAGTACCGTTTAAAATTCTATTCAAGCAGTATTGCATTTGTTAATTCTGCCGTTATAACCTGATCTTGGTGTTTATACTATACAGGGTAGTCCCAACCTAAGAAGCTTCCTTCACACGGTTAGTTTTCATTATAGCACATGCAACAAATGTTCAATATTACTGAGATATTAGATTCTCAAAGAATCTTCTGGGCTAAAACCAGAAGAAGCCTTAATGTGTGACAATATTTGTCCTGTCGCTGTAGTAAAGGAAATTCGACATATTATTGTTTAAAAATCGTAATTAAATAATACCAAAATGGCACACTCCTATAACAATTTTAAAATACTCGATATGATGCCAGATTTGATGAGTTTTCCTAAGAGTCTATTGAAGCGACACGAGTGTATCCAGATCAATTTTTTAGTTGTTTTTATCCTGTGGTGTAGGTAAGTTGACTTGCACATATTACAGGTATTCCTGTATCATTCCAATTTCAAAGTAGCATCCTATCGAATGCACCATTTTTCTTGGAAGATTCCACATACACAGAACCAAATTTGTCTGGTGACTTGAGTTCATTGTGTACGAGAGAGAAGTTTGTATAGACAGATCGTAGAAAGAGATACAAGCCGCCTGGATATCAAAGCTCATCAGTGGCGTTGCCTAGCAACGCTAATGCAGCAAATATGCGTTAGTCTATTCTTTATGTCCAAATAATGGTTTTATTTTTAGCGTACAGCATATTTCTGAATTGTGAATAATCTGCTTAGGATTGAGTTCCGATTGGCGCTCCGTTTTAGGTCGAAATGAACGGTCAGGATCGCCACAAATTGTGCAACATTGCATCATTGGTTCGTTGATAACACTGTATCTTGTACATTCCAAGGAAGGTTTCCACCTCCATGACCATAGTTGAGCGCTTTTGGTCAATACCCATCTAGCGCTGTTAGGGGTGTGTAGTCCTGCTTTGATATGGCTTTCACCCGCTCGCTCGCAGTTAGTGATAATTTGTATTGCGTAACGTTACGGTCGGAAAGTGTAACAGTAACTTGGGATGTGTTGATTTCATCGTCATAGGTGGAAATCAAAGATACTTATAAAATAGATTAAAACACCAAGTCGTATCAAAATTGAGATAAATAATTCTAATTAAAATGAAAACAGAATATTAAATGACATCCGTCTTGGGTTTGACAGTAACCGAACCAGCCTGTACGAACATTTTTTGGTGCAACATATTGGAAACGCGGCAGATTGCACGACCCTCTGAGTCACCGTCGCTAGGCAATGTGTTGATGACCTTCACCCATCAGTCGGCTTCTATATCTCTCTAACACAGGGTTCCCCAACCTTTTTTTTTTGATGAGGTTTCCCGGACTATAGATTATATTTTCGTGCCTCCCTTTAGTTTTTCAATACATACAAAAAAACGCACATTTCATAGATACAAACACTTTTATTTTAATTCTAATAAAGAAACTTTAAAAGTTTAAATAAACTAATAAATGTTTTTTATCGAACAACTTGAATAAAATAAGAGTAGGTACTGATGAGACACTTGAGATTGCATGTTCTGAACCAGTTGGTTGATTCTAGGTTCTGTTTTTGTCAGAGCTATCATCAGGTCGCTATCGACATCAAGACGAGTTCGCTGTTTAGTTTTAATTAAAACTAGAGCAGAAAAGCCTGTCTCACATAATTAAGTTGAAGTAAGAGAGGCAAGTGTCGAATTAACAGGCAATCTTTTGATCCAAAATTTCTCCAATGTTAAAAGATGGAAATGATCTTGCATGGACGAATCAGCCTTCATTTTTAGAAATTCTTCCTGAACTTCTTCTGGCAATTGTGAGACATCGACAACAAATGGATTTCTTGTCATGTATCATATTGGTGATTCTGAATTGATGTCTCGATGGTATTGGCGAAATTCGTCTTCCAGCGCTTGCAAATGAGTTTTTATGTCAGTTTTTAAATTTGCGTCCAGTATGTTATTTTTAATTGCTTCGAACAGCCGAGAAAAAGAAATATTTTCAGAAGACACTTTTTGATTCCAAAGTTGAAGCTTTGATATGAACCCCTGAACATTAGCATAATTGCTTATTATAGTGCTATTTCTGCCCTGAAGTTACAAAGTTTAGCTCATTCAAGGAGTCAAATATGTCAGTTTAATAATCCAACCTCCATTGAAATGTGTCATGTTTGAACATTGTCAAGAAATCGTCTTTTTCTTTGAACTCAAGAAAAAGAATTACCTCTTCTTTCAATTCATAAAGTCGAGCCAACATGCTGCCTTTGGTCAGCCAGCGTACTTCTGTATGGAACAGAAGAACTTTGTGATCAGAATCGAGATCCTCGCAAAGTAAAATAAATAACCGACTGTTCAAGCGCTGCTCTTGATGTAATTCACAATCCTTATAGCCGAGTCCAAAGTCTGGCGTAATTTCTGTGTTTTGGAAGCCAAAGCTTGCCGATGAATAAAATAATGTGTACTAACCATTGCGGCATTTTTTCCTTGAGCTTTTTAGCTAAGCCCGATCATGCACCTATCATTGCAGGTGCGTCATCTGTGCAAAGTCCAATGAGTTTCTTCCAATCTAAATCATTTTGTTTCACAAAATTTGATATCGAATTAAATATATCTTCAGATGTAGTACCTGCTGTCAAAGATTGGGAGTACAAAATCTCTTCTTGAATGATATCTCCGCCGATGTAACGAACATAAACTATTAACTGTGCACAATTAACGATGTCGGTGGATTTATCGCAACTAATGGCAAAACATGGCGATAATTTTACTTTGTTAATTATTTGTAACTTTATGTCTGCTGCAATGTCATCGATTCTATGCTGAACTGTGTTATTCGAAAGAGAAATAGACTTCATTTTTTGCTCTGAATCTTCTCCTAAAATTATCTGCGTGGCCTTCAGGACACATAGTTTTATTAATTCTTCACCAATAGTATGAGGTTTCTTTTGCTTTGGTATCATAAAAGCTGTTTCAAATGAAGCTTTGAGATGCTGTGATACACCTGTGCGATAACTTCCCGGTTTATCCAGTCTCACGCGCTTGAGTGATTCTGCTTTAGAAGAAAAAAACTCTTTCGTCTTCAAAACCAGAGTAGGATGTTGTTGCTTCAAATGCCTTTCAAGGCGATTGGGCCTCATGCTTACATTACTTAAAACTTTCATACATATCACACACTGAGGCAACTGTAACTCTCTTTTTCTATGAAGGTAAATCCAAACTTGATGCAATCTTCTGAAAACTTTCTTTTTTTCGCTGTCATTTTGCACCTATAACAATAAAACAAATGACTAATAAATAAAAAGGCAAAATACCTACATGTAATTACTAATGGGCATCTACCATTATTTCATCTTAATAACGTAACGTATGAACAGTATAGTGGCCACCGGGAGATTTATATTTTCGTAGGCAGGTTGACGTTGTAATAGTAATTTTAAATACATTTGGAATCAATATTAGGTACTTAAAGTTCGTCGTTTCAAAATTATTTCGCCACGTTGGTTTGATTGTGATCTGGTAAAAAAGTCCCAATGGCCGATCTATGAACGCGTCTCCACTCAATCAACAGTTTAGTAAATTAAATAAAAATGGTAACTGAAGTTTGTAAATACACAAACTTACCTTTTAACAGTGAGACACAATAATTTGACACACTGAAACAGACTTCTCAATAAAACATGTACATCGAAACTTCAAATCTTTCGCAAGTTTGGTGGAATGAATGTCACAGATGCTCATCCGCATCTGGTAGGTAGACAATTGTTTTCTAAGTAATGAATGTTAGCACAGCGCGGCGGGGGTGTGCGCGGATTTCATGTTGTGACTTGTCGAAACTTGTATAAACTGCGATTGACGACGCCGGTTTTGAAACAGCGGTTGACAGAATAAATGAATATGATATTTAATTTTATGCGATTAAATTAAACATTACATTGTAATTTTATTTGTTAATGTTGTTTATTTATTTTTTTTGTTTTTTTTTTCTTTCTAAAGTGCAAACGGTTTCCGCCCGCCTTGACATATCTCTATGCCCCCCTTGGGATGCGCGCGGCCCTGGTGGGGAACTCCTGCTCTAACATGTGTTGACACACGTCTCGCGCCTCTCGATCGTACATTATATCGAACTTAAGCCGTTAGACAAATTTGGTTTTCCTCGTATACGGGTTCTTATCCGTTTGCGCACGGTTTTTGAGTCATCACCATTTTTATAAATTTGTATACATTCGCTACTCCTGAGATAGTGCTATAGTCGTACATTATACAGGGTGATTCGCAAGTCGTGACCAAAAATGAATATACAGGACCACATTTTAATGGGGTCTTCTATGTAACATTGTTTTTCCGAGGGTTTCATTAAAAAGATGGTGTTGAGGTTTCAAAATATTTTTTTTTAATATCTTCGAAACCATCATCTGGAATGAACTAAAATTTGGTATGTGGATTTACCTAAGTACTGTCCACATTCCAAAGGGGAGTAGCGGCATTATTTTTCCAAATAAAAATACTACGCCCCTGTTTTTTTTTGAAACTCGCAATTTTTCAAATTTTACCTTTAATTTGCTACAAACTTGTGTTTTTGACTAGAGTGCACTGTTTTTGTAAAAATAAAAATAAAACAAATCAGATCATTCATGAAGAGCCGAGATACCAACTTGACGTTTCTTGAGAGATAGTTTGTTGAATTTATGTGATATATGGTTGTTATCGTTACTACTGCCATTTATTTTTTTGTAAAAGTCAAGTCAATAGTTTATTTTTGCAATTTTTGAGTGTTGTGAAATGCAATTTAGCAATGATGGGTACGCCGATATTATTTTTGTGTACGGGCTCTGTAATGGAAATGCTTTAGCGGCTTCTCGGGAGTATCAACGTAGATTTCCCAACAGCCGTCAACCTACCCCAAAGGTTTTTAAGCTTCCATTTCTGAGACTTCGTCAATTTGGAATTGCCAGACTTCCCGGAGTTAGAGGCCATGGTGTCCGGCGCATATTGTTCAAGAGGAACTGGAAGTGATCAATTTGGCGTTGGATGATTTTAGTACTAGGCGGATTGCAGCCCAGTTACCAGGTTCCCAAAGTCTTGCGTGGAGAATTTTAAATCCGGAAGTTTTACATCCTTGAATGAATGAATCTTAAAATTAGAGGCATCCCGGCAACCATAAGGAGCCAGTGCATAGGCCGCTTAAGCGGGCCCTTACGCACCTCTACAATCCTTAAATCACAAGCCTCGCCCTTTTAGCGAAGTTGAGAATCGCCTTGAGTCCAAGCTCCTTGTCGTCCTGAGGGTCCAAAGTATTGGACCCCAGTATAGTCTGCCTATAGTAGCTCAGAGCTTCACAGCGACACAAAACGTGCGCCGAGGTCTCTTCCTCTACTCCGCAGAGTTCACACAAGGGATCCTCAGCCACCCCCATCACGTGCAGGTGACGCTTTAATGTGTTATGGCCAGACAATAGTCCCACCAGCAACCTTAGGTTGGCTCTATCCAGAGATAGGCAGAAGCGTCCATCCTTAGCACTGGGCCCTTCAATCAGCTCTCGTGCCTGGCGGAGATGTCTAGAGATACTTCTCTATTTCTGAGAGTGTTGTCTTGCAACCCACGTCTCCATTTTCCTCCTAGCTTTATGCGCGGTCACTCCTAGAGCTGGCTCAGGACCAACGAGCTTGCTGGCTGATCCTGTTTTCGCCAGAATGTCCGCCGTCTCGTTGCCCCTTATCCCAGCGTGCCCCGATACCCATATTAACGATACCGGGTTCCTCACTGCGAGGCAATCCAGAGCCTCCCTGCATTGCAATACAAGACTCGAAGTAATCTTACAGGCACTTAGTGCTTTCATTGCAGCCTGGCTGTCAAATAAGATTGTTATTCTTCTCCTCGGCCCACCCTCCTCCAGAATGTGAGATACACAAGCCAGAATTGCAAAGATTTCCGCCTGGAAAATGGTGGTGTATCCACCGAGAGGCAGAGATAGCCTAGTTCTAGGCCCAGAGACCCCAGCACCTGAGCCTTCTTCGGTGACCGAGCCGTCCGTGTACCAGACCTGCCCGCTCACTTCGGAGAGTCCCCGGCTACCGGCGTCCCACTCCTCCCTCGTTGGATACTCCACAATAAGCTAGCGGTTGAAGTGATATTTAGGGGTAATAAGATCCCCCCGCTTAGAAGGACGGGGTCCTCCCTTTCTAATTCGACTAAGATGGCGGTATGCCCCTTGACAGGATTCAAGAAAGCCCAGCTGCCCTGACTCCACAGTCGATGAGCGACTACTCTCGCTTCACCGCGAATCACCAGATCCAACGGTGGGAGATCCAACAGAGCTTCCATTGCACTCAATGGTATTGTTCGCACTGCGCTTGTAATACTAATACAGACCAAACGCTGAATTTTATTGAGTTTGGCCTTAGTTGTCTCAGTTATAATGCAAGGCCACCAGACCAGGGAGCCGCACAAGAGAGATGGACGTACTATCGCCATGTAGAGCCAGTATACCACTTGGGGTTTAAGCCCCCACCTTACACCGACAACACGTCTACAAGCCCTCAACGAATTGCGAGCCTTGCTAACCTTGTATTCAACATGCTATCTCCAGTTCAGTTTGCAATCCAGGATAATTCCCAGATATTTCACTGAGTGGGACAAAATTAGTCTAGTCCCAAAGAAGGTCGGAATGACCAGCCCGTCAAGCCTTCTTCTCCTAGTGAATAGGATCAGCTCGGTCTTTTCAGAATTAACAGAAAGATCGACTTCCCTACACCCCGATTCCACGGAGCGCAGAGCGCCCTGCATAATTTCCGAGACTGTTCTAGAATCACGCCCCCTAACTACCATGATTACGTCATCAGAATAGGCTTGCACGTAGACACCCATACTGCTGAGCCTAACGAGGAGTTCGTTCACCACGATACACCACAGTAGGGGTGACAGAACTCCGCCCTGAGGGCAGCCTCTAGCTACACTCACGCTGAAGCTTACGTCATTCAGCATAGCTGTTGTTACCCGACCCTCCAGAGTAGATAGGACCCAATCTATTAGGATTGATCCAACCCCGTGTCTAACCAAGGCATGTCTGATAGAGTCCGTTGTGGTGCAATTAAATGCACCTTCAATGTCCAAAAAGGCCACGAGTGCCACTTCTCGCTGATCTACCAGCCTACCGACCAGATTGTGTAAGGCCAGATCAGTCGATTTTCCAGCTTGGTATGCAAACTGATTTGCATGAATGACACACCTTTCCAGCGGGCCATCCCTTAAGTATCTATCAACTATCCTTTCCAGTGTCTTAAGTACAAAAGATGAACGAGTAATCGGTCGAAAATCCTTCGGGCCAGTATATCTATCTCTGCCAGGTTTAGGAATGAATACCACTTTAGCCTGCCGCCAGCTTCTAGGTGTGAAGCCCGTGGCCACACATGCTCGAAACACATTCAACAGGTAAGGAACAACCGAAATCCGTCCCTGCTGTAACATGGCCGGAAATACGCTGGCCAGACCTGGACTTTTGTATGGAGCAAACGAATCTACTGCCCATACCGTCCTTTCGAAGGTGACAATCTCCCTAGCCGTGCGCCAGTCCTCCCCTGAGGGCCTGCGCAACTGCATGCACTCTGTGATTGATCGCGCTACTGTGGAACCGGGAAAGTGCGTATCCATCAGAAGCCTCAGAGTACCTTCCTCAGAAGTAGTATTCCCCCCCGAGGGATCATGCAGAGATCCCAATCTTGCTTTAATGTCTTTGCTTAGGACCCTGTGTATTCTTGCAGTAGCAGGAATGTCATTTATGGACTGACAGAAGTGCCTCCAGGATTCTCTGGAGGCCTTTCTAATCTCCTTTTTGTACTCCTGCAATGCCATTTCGTAGTCTTCCCATAGAGGAGAACTTCTCCTGTGCTTAACTCTGCTAAGAAGTTTGTGCACCGCTCGTTTTCCATCCTCTAATTCTTTGGTCCAGAAGGTTCCCTTGCCCTTACCTTGGACTTTGCGTAACGGGCAGTTTTTCTCATATGCAGCCGTCAAGTCCCTGCTCAGAGACTCGACAGCTGCTTCTATGTCAGAGCCCCTGCAAAGCCTGTATGGGACCGCTCCGAGCTTTCTGTCAATGTCTGCCCTAAAGTACCACCATCTAGTATGCCTGGGATTCCGAGCATATTTATCTGGAATCTCTCCATCACTCTTAAACAGTATGTACCTGTGATCCGATAGAGAGGGTGTTAGAGACACTTTCCAGTCCCTGATGTCCTGAGCTAAGTTAAGCGTGCTCAGTGTTAAGTCGATAACCTCTTCTCTTACACTATTGCTGAAAGTGGGCATGTTACCGACATTCAGAACCTCAAGGTTCGATGCCCCTAGAAACACCATCAGGTCTTCGCCCCGTCTGTTGGTGTTCGAGCTGCCCTACGTAACGTGATGGGCATTGCTGTCGCATCCAATCACGAGGTCGAGTCCAGAATCCCTACAGAATGCGACAAGGTCCCCCATTTCCTTGGAACATACAACCAAGTCCCTATCACTGCCTTCCTTCTTATATCTAATTCTGACTGCAACTAAGTCTCTGAATGTAAATTCTTTAAGTTGCCATGAGTTAACGGAAGTCATTACGCAAGATCTGGGCTTAGTGTCCGGAGAATCGCTAAAAAGCGGTATACTAAGCCCGTTTACTGA